TGCGATTATAGGCGTGAGCCACTGCATGTGGCCAAATCCTTCTAATTTTCTGAGGTGGCTATTATTATTCCTCATTTTATACAGGAAAAAATAGAAATCAGAGAGCTTAATACATTTGTCAAGGTGTACAGAGTTTGTAATAAGGAAAACCAATTCAAACCTAGGTCTGACTCCTTCCAGCGCATGTATATTGTATGTAATGTCACCTTTACGTCTTTTCCCAAATTGTGTCATCTTTTCTAAGTCAAACCTACTAACATGAGTCTTAAAATCAGCCTTTGTTGCCAAAATACTTGACAGTACATTGGTCATTTATTCTTCCCCATTCTGGGTAGAAATCAGAGTTCTCTTTTCCTAATGGAAGCCCCAGGACAGCTTATGTTTGCATGTCATATGTCCATTTGACTTTTCACCAAAACACTAGTGTTTCACACAGTCCTGACCCATCGGCTTCTCAAAGGTGGGTGGCAGTGGTGAGAGACGATGAAGCTCATCTCAGAGGCACAAACAGGGCATTTTTGAACTGACCCAAGTGCATCTGGTATTTGACACCTGTTGGATTTGGTGGCCTCTGTGATTTAGATGAAGGGGAGGGCCATAAGTTCTCTCCTCCTCAACCTCACCACCAGGTAGTTTGTTGAAACAAAAGCAGATCCCAGACTGAATTCTGTCACACATCAAATACTGACATTAGGCAGAATGTACCAAAGTAGCCATAAAACCTGTTCCTGTAAGCTGAGGAAGTCCTAACTCTCCATCCTTAAGGTATGTTGACAAGTACTTGCAGGAGAGATTTACTCAGGGACAGCAGTCTGCAAAAAGATCAGCTCCAGGGGACCAAGAAGCCTTCTTGGCAGGCTGTAAATGTTCTGTTTTTTTTTTTTTTATCCAGCTGATGATGATTTGAGTATTTGCAAGCATAACATTCTGTATGTGCACTTAAGATTTGTGCCCTTTAGTATATCTGTTATTTCTCAATACAAAATAAAGTGGGAATAAATGTTTGCCCTTAAATTATTCACAGTCTGTGAGCAGGGAAATTATCATATATTGTTCAAACCCATAAACCCTTTGAATTAGAGGTTTTCCATGGAAGGGTCTCCCAGGGGGAGTGAAAGCACTCAGGGGTCTTTCATATGCACCGTCCTGCCGAGGCCTCCTCTCTGGTGACCCCAGCCCATCCCTGTGGTATCCCCTAGAGTGGACACAGTAGTTGCCTCCATCCAAGTGACCATCTTGGCACCTGGGATACTTTAGTCTTGGGCTACTGCTGCCTTCTTTCTTTATTCTCCCCTGTTTTAAGTAGAGTCATGCATCGCTTATGATACGAAACACTGTGAGAAATGTGACAGGCAATTTCATCTTTGTTGTGGGAACATCATAGAGTATACCTAGCAAACCTGGATAGCAGAGCCTGCTACACACCTGGGCTATGTGGTACGGCTTACTGCTTCCAGGCTACAAACCTGTACAGCGTGATACTGTCCTGAATACTGCAGGCAGCAGTAATACAATCTAAAGACTTGTGTAATAAACATAGAGAAAGTACAGGGAATTATAATCTTATGGGACCACCAGCGTATATGTGGGCTATCACTGACTGAAACCCTATGATGTGGTATGTGACTATATATCCTTCTCTTGGAATTTGACTTCTTTTACTTTTTAGGCCGCTTTTGGTGGCTTTAACCAAATTCCTGATGAGGCTAGGCAGGAAGGTTCTGGGGGATGAAATAGATGTATTTCCCTGGGCAACAATCCCAGACTCCACCCTGGGGCGGGGCATGGGAGGGGCTGCGGGTCCCCTCTCTTTCTTTCCCAGAAGGGGAAAGGAGACAGGGGTAAGGATCACCAGGGGGTCGTGCTGGCAGAGCCCTTAGCTCTAAGTGCCAACTTTGATAACTATTGGATTTGGCCTAGTAAGCCCTGGCTGTTGCCTCCCAGGTAAAATTCTGCAGGACAAAGAGATAAAGATGACTCGGTATCAGCTGCCTCTAGGACAGGGTTGTGGTGTTTCTGCTTTGGCCGTTGTAGAATTCCTGTGACTTTCATTTATTGCCCACGTTTCTCTCCCTTTACATTGCACACACATCCCTCTCATCCCAGACTCTTGTTTAACAGAACCTCAGCCTTAAAGAAAAAACAAAAACAAAGCTTGTACACACACACACAAACCCTCTGCTACTATTCCTAATCTACTGTGGAATCTGTTGCCATAGCAGCAGGGAGCGGCTGCCCCCTCCCCTCCCCAAGCACAAACACACACTTCATCATGGGGCTCCCATCACGTTTTTTATTTTTTTTCTCTTTCTCAAACAGCAACAGCCAACACTGCTTTTCCACAAACTATTAATATATCTTTATAGTACTCTCTTGGTACTTTTTAGACTGCATTTGCTTCTAACTTCAGGTACACCTAGTCATGCCCCCGTAAGTAAGGCTAATTTTATGAAGAGGCTGGTGCTGATTTGCTTTTAGTCTTACTTATTATTGGATCCAATACTAAATGAATAAAGAGATTTTGGGAGTTATCTAAAAGTAACATGGGAATTGAGCTCTATGGCTCTGGGCACCTTAATTTCATTTTCTGAGATTTTGTATTTCTTTTCATTGTTTTGATTTTAGCTTATTGCTTTAACATATTCTTTTTTATTTTTAAAGAACTGAGTGTTAATGAAGGCATAGGAAAGAGTATATGATAATTAGCCAAGTTTGATATCATAGTTAACTAGCAGGTTCCTAGACAAATATATGATACTCTTCTTTTTATAATTAGACCATGTGAACATTAATAACGGAATGGGTTGGATTTTTTTTTTTTTAATGTTAACAGCTTAGGAAAAAGCGGTATTGATATTACTTGAACTTAGTGTGTTTTTTTTTAAATAAAGTCCTGGGTTTCTGAAGCCAAAACCAAACCATGTTAGTTACTCTCTTAACCCAGGGCTGTGGGAGAAGCCAGTGGATTCTAGGCCCACATTTCTCCTCTTGGAACTAGAAACCCTCCATCAGGGCAAGACTCCCAAAGAGCTGCCGTGGAGTCCAGCTGAGTGCTTGTAAGAGGGCCCCCCCCGCCCCCTTCTCAGTCTCCTTCCCCATCACAGACACTGGCTGCCATTGAAATGAATACTGGCTATAGGAGGGAATGAGATTTTGCCTCTTCAAGCTTGATACCTCCCTCCTGTTTCTTTTTAGTCCAGCTCCCCGGTCTCTTAGGTCTCAGAAGATGGAGCAACAGCTGTTATCCTCAGACCTGGCACCAGGGAAGGGATGTGCCCTCATTCAGCCAATGTAGCAGGGCTGGGAAAAACTAATTAAGCCTCTTGGCAGCTATGTGATTGGGCAAGTTCCCTAACCTCTTAGAGACTCAGTTTTCTTCTCCATAAAATAGTGATGATACTCCACTTTCATCATCAGGCTGTTGATTAAATGAGACAATGCTTGTGGGAATCCTTACTATAGTGCTGGGCAGTAATTTGTATATACTCAATGAATGATCATCCCTTTTCTTTAAATATGCTCATAGATGATGTGGAAAATTCTACTTTACCCTCCACGGTTATTTGTCATATCATGTTGTAGTTTTTAAAGATTTTTCCAAAAACCTTTGGGAGAACAAATCCTCTACCCCACTCCCAAAAAACCAGGAAGAACTTTTAAAAAGTTGTAATAAAATATACATAAAATTCACATTTTTAACCATCTTCAAATGTACAATTTAGTGACATTTAGTACATTCACAGTGTTGTACACCCATCACTGCTAGCTGGTTCCAGAACTTTCTTCTTCTTCTTTTTTTTTTTCTTTTGAGTCAAGAGTTCCTCTGTCACCCAGGCTGGAGTGGAGTGGCGTGATTTTTGCTCACTGCAGCCTCCACCCACCCAGGTTCAAGCGATTCTCCTACCTCAGCCTCCTGAGTAGCTGGGATTATAGGCAGCCACTACCATGCCTGGCTAATTTTTGTATTTTTAATAGAGACAGAGTTTCGCCATGTTGGCCAGGCTGATTTCGAAATCCTGACCTCAGGTAATCCGCCCACCTCAGCCTCCCAAAGCGTTGGGATTACAGGCATGAGCCCCTGAGCCTGGCCTAGTTCCAGAACATTCTTATCACACCAAAAAGAAACTCTGTAGCCCTTAAGCAATCGCCCTACTCTCCCCCTAGTAACCACTAATTCTGGCCTTCTGTCTCTATGTATTTGCCAACTTTGTATATTTCATATGGAAACATACAATGTTTGTTTTTTTTGTGTCTGGGTTATTTGACTTAGCCTAATGTTGTCAAGGTTCATTGATGTTATAGCATGTATCAGTACTTCATTCCTTTTAATGTCTGAATAATATTCCATTGTATGTATATAGCAGATTTTGTTTATCCATTCATCAGTTGATGGACATTTGGGTTCTTTCCACCTTTGACTATCATGAATAACATTGCTATGAACATGGGTCTACAACTTTTTGAGCACCTGTTTTCACTTCTTTTGGATCTATACCTAGGATTGGAATTACTGGATCATATGATAATTCTGTGTTTAAATTTTTGAGAAATAGAACAGCTACCAAACTGTTTTCCACCATGGCTATGCCATTTTACATTTCCACCAGCAATGTCTGAGGGTTCCAATTTCTCCGCACTCTTTCCAACACTAGTTATTTCCCATTAAAAAAATTATTATTATAGCTATCACAGTGGGTGTGAACTGGTGTCTTACTGTGTTTTAAGAATTTTTTACAGTACTGATTTTGTATGTGTCTGGACTCAAATTTCTATATCGATGTTCTTAAGCCTGCCATATTGCAAAGCTACATGAAAAACCACCTATACAAAATTCCGAACAAGAGAATGGTGTAAAACTTCTTTTCCTTCTTGGCCCCTGCTATAGCTAAACATCATGACTCTGTAATCTGTAGTATGTTTAAGCCACTTGCAGACAATTTGTGGCAAATTAGAGATGATATCTGATGCCTCTGACCTTCTTTCTAATTTCTCTTTTTTAGGTTTTAGGGTTTCCTTTGGGTCACCCGAAATGTTTTTTAAACACTTTGGATAAGAGCTAAACCACCTGCCACTGGGGACTTCCATACTCTCGGCTCCCTTATCATCTGATGGCATTTTGACTGTCTTGAGGCCAAGTGACTTGCTGTCCATGATGAGTGATGAGAAGAACCTTGGTGTGTCCCAAAAGTTGGTGTCACCTTCAAGGAGCACAAGTAGCTGCTCTTCCAAGCAAGGAAGTCGACAGGTAAAGTTTAACTCATGCAAATTTTAATATGCAAATATAAGCCATCAAGTTTGCTGGTTAAAATGCACACATTTACTTGGGAAATCCTACTTCTCAGTTTAAGAGCATTTACTTTTGGTTATCTCTTGACTGTGTGAGGAGAGTAAATTCTGTATAATTTTAATCATGTGTGCCTACCAGGTGGGAAGAACTGCATTTGGTTCTTCATATAATTTTGTTTAATTCTTGCAACTGTCCTCCAGTGTAGATATTAACATCTCCATTTTCCCCATGAGGAAGCTGACTCAGACTGACCAGGTTACTTGCCCAAGGACACACAGCTAGTAAGGAGCAAAGAAAGAACCAAAGCTCAGTCTGTTTGGCTTCAGAGCCCACACTTTGCTTTATATCCTGCTAAGCAAAACAAAAAAACCATCCATCATTTTTCAAGTAATTAAAATATCCACCCCAACTTTCTTCCCTTTATCACACCTTTTGTGGCAGCTTGTAACCACAGATTGCCCTGCTAGTAGCTTCGAGTCTCACTTGCTTTAATATCTGTAATGGATGAGGGAACCTAATCTACAGAAAAATTGTCCAAAGGAATTAAGTAGGAGGAAGAAAGAATTGAAACAAAGGACTGAATAATTAACTCCTAAATAACTGTCGGGTAATTATATATTGTTTCTTGGTTTCCTTTCTAATGGATCTTTGTTGGCAGAATTTGCTGGTTTTAGATCAGTGGCAGTAAATGCACATTAATCATTATACTTCTTCCCCCAGCAGTTAGGTAGTGAGAGAATGAGCTGTCAGAAAGCTGAATTTATGACCAAAGTGGTCTGTGAGCCTTTTCAGCACCTGCTGGCTCTGTTGGCATTTCCTTTTCCTCATGGGAAGTGCTGGCCTGAGAAATCACCCAGAGTCTTTGGTTCCAGAATTGGAAGCAGCAATTAAATAACTCCCACCTCAGTCACATCTACACATTTGGGGTCTCTCAGACTGAGCGTTGCCTGGGATAAGGAGCTTTGCCACCCATGAATCTGTGATGCCAGGAAAATTAGATTTTGCCACAGGTCTGACATTTGGGAAGCCTTCCAGGATCTCCCCTGAGGGGTTAAGAAGGAGAATTTTGTCAGCACTGTCTTCGGTTCCTTCTGGGACTAAAAAAAAAAAAAGAAAAGACTAAAATTAGTCATTGGCTAATGCATCATGGCTCCCTGGAGTTCTGTTTCATGAGGTTCACTGTGCTTGTCCTCTTTGTCAGCTTTCCACAGGAGTATTTTTCTCCCTAAGCCAAAACTCTGGTTGGGGTTAAAACAGCATGTGGTATATCCCCTACCTGTGCCATCTTCCTTACACCCAGGGATTGTTATGTCCTTCTTTGATAAAGGGGGAGAACATGATTCCTTTAAGTAGCAGGTGGTGATTACACCATAGGAATTGGAACAGTACAATGAAATTCTCAGATCAAATACTACGGAAACTTTTTTCAGTGTGTTATTTGGAATTGACTGGGTTTTCACAAAGCTTTTTTGGAAGTTACATCATAAAGGGTAAGAGGAATGTGCTTCATGCCTCAACTTTTTTCTGACTTGGAATGCTTGGTCAATCAGTCAGTCATTCATCAAATGGTCATCTTTTATATTTAGGGTCTCCTGCTTTAATATGCATATAATGTGGCTTTATAAATGGAGACACTTCTATTTCCTCTGTGGCAGAGAAGGTGGAGAATTTAATAAGTTCATTTCAACTTCAGCCTGTGGTTATAAAGCCCGTGTTTTATTTCCAGAGGTCATTTTCTTAGTCCATCTGCTTTCTCATCCTTCTGTCGAAGAAAGGTGTTCTGTCCCAGGGTATGCTTAGTGTTTCCATCCATGTGGTCCACTCTGGCCCCCCATACCCACTCTGCCTTCGCAAACTGGCCCAAGATTGTGCTTCAGTCTTTAAAGGTGCTACAGAGGTACAGGAACCTTTGAAGCTCTCCTCCCTTAGGGCACACAGCCATCTCCGATGGTCTGTCGGTTGCTAAATATAAGGATGACACTGTGTTTCCAGTCATGTCACTGAAGAGTACCAGTTAAACACTTAAAACTTCAAGATTTACATAGTAAGAAATTTAATTAGAGGAATAAGAAATATAGCTAAAGATAATCTGTGCAAATACCTACTTGTATTTCAAACACTAGTTTTAAGTCATTTTCAAATTGCTCTCTTCCTTTCATCTTAAGGGGATACATCTGATGTTGATTTTATTGGTCATTTTTCTTAGTGCTAGTTTTTCTCATGTGCTTTGGAATTGCAGCTTAGAGCTTCATCTAGAGATTGCTTCCCATGTATTCTTTCTCTGCGCTCACCCTGACCCATCTAGGGATTTGCTATTGCCAACTTTCCACCTCTCAGGACCCCAGTGCAGAGTCAAGTCTAATATTTGCAGCAAGGGCCTGCTGTTCCATGATGATGATGGAATACCTGGGACCCAGCACCAAGCCCCAGACAGCATAGCCCAGTGCCTGGCTGTGAGGCTATGTCTCCCTCCTCACCTCTCCCTGGGCAAGCAGATTTTTAAAGCTCTCTCATTGTGGTTGTTGGTTCCCGGGGCGGGGGCCCCCTCCACAGTTTCAGATTTCCAGCAGGCGAGCCTGGGCTCAAGCTCCAGCCTTTCCTGATGACATTTTTCACCCCATTAGCCCACAGAAACAGGCTAATGGACACCTCTGTCTAGGTGATACTTTACTTTCTGTTTGGTTCTGATCCATGGAGATACTTAATCTTTTTTTGCCACATTATTCTTTTTTTTCAGGGTTTGTTGAGGTAATAAATGACAAATGAAAGTGTATATATTTATGGTGTATAATGTGATGTTTTGATACATGTACCATTCGAAGTGATTACCCATTATTCAAGCTAATTAACATACCCATCACCCCCATAGTTATTTTTGTGTGTATGGTGTGGTAAGAACATTTAAAGATCTACTCTTATAGCCAATTTCAAGGTAAATAATGCAGTATTATTAACTATAGTTGCCATGGTGTTACATTAGATCCCCAGAACTTACCATTCTATCATCTGGTTCTCTATAAGTTTGACTTTTTTAGATTTCCACATGTAAGTGGAAATCATGCAGTATTTTCTTTCTGTGCTTGGTTTATTTCACTTTAGCATAATGTCCTCCGGGTTCATCCATGTGATTGCAAAATGACAAGATTTCTTTCTTTTTAAAGGCTGAATTAGTAGTCCACTGCAAGGTATATGTACACATTTTCTTTGGAAATATTTAATCTTGTTTTTTATCGCACAGACAAAAAAAGAGCCCTACGTGTTTATAACTTTGGTATTTTTTGCCATTATTTGGAGTAAGGGTGGCATTTTGTCTATATTTTTGCCATATTTGGAGCTGAGGGTGGCATTTTGTTATGTTTTTGCCGTATTTGGAGAGTGGCAATTAGGGTAGGGGCCACTAAATGCATGAACTTCAAACACCATCTTAGCGGAAGACATGGTTTTTTAAAGTCATTTTTACTTAAATTCTCATCCAGTATTGCCAGGTGACCTTGAGAGTCTCTGTACTCCAGCCACACTAGCTTTCTTTCTCTTTCTGGAGCTGAATTTTCTCTCGTCCTTGTTTCTTGAACTGAGCTTAAACTTGAACCTGGTCTTCCTATCTCAGACCTATTCATCTAAAATCTCATGGAGCTATGTGTTTATGTATTGATACTCTCCTACCTATATATCTATGTTGAAAGAGCTTGCTTCCTTGAAGGAGAAAATGATTGAGACCTAGGTGTTTTCATTTTTACATCTGACCTAAGACAAAATGTACAACTTAGGGCCATAAAAACCCTAGGAGGAGGGTTCTATCATCTTTTAACTTAAATGTTGGGGCTCCTGAGATTTTAAAAACAGTAAGCCTCACTTTGCCAGTACGAAAACAACCTGTCAATAAAATCTCTTCAAGATAATTTGCGGAGAAAGGTATGCATAGTGATTAGAACATTAACTCTCCAATCTTGGGTCTACCCATTAATTGGTTCTATGACCTTAAACTCTCCAAGCCTCAGTTTTTTCATCAATAAAATTGGAATAATAATAGTTCTTTTCTCATAGCATTGTGGTAAGGATGAAAAATAAGTACTTATTCCAGGGTCAGACTCAGAATAGGTGCTGAGTAAATGTAAACGTATGTTTTTATCATTATAGTTAACATTAATTTGACCTTCATTCTTATTTGTGAAAGTCCTAAATGCTCATAGTGGATAGTTCTAGCTTTTTTTCTCCCAGGAACTTTTACAGGATCATACATGTATCCACTCATACCTTTTTAGTGTTATACAAAAGCCCACTAAAATATACACTGTACATGTGAATATATACTTTTAAAATAAAAAGTGCCTTACTCCACGCATTAACAAAATGCTTTTGTGAAGAATACAATAGAATGTTTAATAATTGGGCTACATTTGACATCTTTAGGCATAACCTATACCTAAAACAAGTGAGAACAGTTGATGAATTCTTACCCCATTCTGCTAAGCCGTGCCCTTGCTTGGGTCGTAAGTGATTTTCCCCTCTCGCCCCCTATGCCAGCGTCTATCTCTTGGTAGTAGCTGCACAGAGCATTGTGTTAAGAAGGACTTTGCAGCTGAGTCTGCGTTCAGGGGAAAGATTACCATATTTTTAGCTGTGACTTCTGGGCATAAGGCAGGGAGAGCACAGCATGGGCCCTGTGTTTGTCACCCCTTAGTGACAGAGAAGAGTTGAAATCAAGAGCTCTCTGTTGCAATCTTTATAATGTGTTATTGGATGAACTTCAGGTAACCGTAGGTTGTCTCAGTTCTCCATTCATAAAAAGGAGGAAAAACTCTCCTCCCGCCTTTTCCCCTGGAATGCAGTAAGAGAACATTGAGTGTTTTCAGTGGCTAAAAGACATTGAAAGTCTTTGGAGAAAAGTCCTCTGTAAATTCAAGAAACTGGTATAATTACAGATAAGCTGCCTTTACTTTGGCCAGTTCTGGAAGCAG